TAATGTCGTTTATTCAAAGTAGACAATTCACAACACTGATCAAAACCATGTCACAAAAGCATGGTTATAATCGCATCGCTGCCTCAAGTAAAAACAAGGTAACGCTGTGTACTATCAGTTGTCCCATGGGTTGGTGGCAACACAGGCTCCCGTTTCCACAGGGGACGGACGTTTCCAGGAAGTGCTCTGACAGAATGACAGAGCAGATCACAAACAACATCACGCTGAAGGCATCACTGTCTATGTAGATTATTAACTGACTGTCACGATGCTTTATGTCTACGGTCTGTGGGATATTTATAGACTGCAGATGTGGAAGTTTAAAAAGCATTTAAAGTGTCATAGTTCTTGGAAAATCACAGACAAAATAAAAGAATTTCCACTTTTGTATTCCTCTGTCTCTTATTTGTGGTAATTTTGTTTAATTCACTGTATTATTTTAGGCACAGCAGGTTAATGAATGACTTTGATGACTGGTTAGCTTAGCAGTGTGAGGTGTTAGTAATTTTGACAGACTTTTAAAAACATTTATATTTTTCAGCTTTACCTGTGTACTAAGTAGCATTGCAGGTGCTTGCTTTATCTACATCTATCTATCTTTATTGTTCCACATTATGGCATTAAACTTATGGAGACAAGAAGTGTTGTCATGCATGCTTTTATTTTCCTAAAAAAAAAAGCATGGAGATAAGTTTAAAGCCATACTGTGAATTATACCAGATAAAGGAATAACACTCCAAAAGTTACATAAAGTGAGCCTTAATGGGACTCAGAAAGCTGCATTCATTCATGATTCAGTACAAAATACAGAAACGCATGCCACGGCCGGTCAGCACAAAAGGATTTCTGGCTCAACTAGGACTTCTAATTTCCTACCAAAACAAACTATTTTCCCTTGAAACAACATACACGGGTCTTTCAGTAAAACATAGCGAGTCTTGTGGCTGCACTTCCTGTTTGCAGTATGTAAATGAGCGGGCCTCTCAGTGACTGGAGGCAGGGGCTGGACACAGTAATCCCCACCACAGATCTAAAGAGCTTAATGTCCACCTCTGAGCTTCAACACATGTGCCTGCAGGAGCCTTTGCTAATAGGCTAGACTGGGCACTTGAGTTGTGTCTGTCACGTTCACTGCACGCTCTTCTGTATCATTACCTCATCGTTACTGCTGAAAAGGCTGAGGGGTTATAATTTGAATATACAAAGATAAACAAATAAAAACTGCTAGGAAAAAAGATCAATTCATTTGTTTCTGTTAATCGAACCGCAGCGCAAATCTGTATCAAAATCACTAAATTTAAAGCTTTATTAGATCTCAAAATCTCAAAATTCCTCAAAATTACACAGTACAATTTTAAAACGAGTACTTGCGCAACTTTTCTGGTTGAAGTTACACTACTGCAATGTCAGTACTTTGCCTGGGTTAGGGCTGCCAGTAATATTCCACAGGTTGCCATTAAACTGATCAAACATTTATTCAATTCTTCCTCAAAAAACATAGAAAAACATGCATTCTTATGTGAGGTTGGGCTTGCCTCTCCACAGATCTCACCCATAGCTTGGCCTGGTGGCATTCCTTGCTTCTCTCCATGGAGATAGAAAAGTATAATTCCTGATTGCAGAACATTCAGGCAAAGCAATAACATATTCACCATGGCAACAAGCAGGTTGGGAACCCTACACCAGAAAATTTACACAGTGCACCTTTAAGTAGATTTTTTCATGTGATACTTTTACTTGAGTATTTCTTTGCTCTGGTATCTGTATTTTTACTTAAGTAACAACATTGAGTGCTTCTTCCACCACACCACTGCAACATACACATTATGGTGAAGTTATTATGTGATTAAACAATTATTAATATCCCTCCAGCGCAGACAGGGGGTTTAATCATCATCATTAAACTAGAATTACATCCATGAAGCCATCTGGTGCTATACTGTTCGAACTGGGCCATACGGACTTCCATTTGTAAACAAGCCATAGGATGTCGTCATGCTGTCTTTTAAGTCCACTGGGAACAAAAAATACAAGCAGTACAATGCAGTGCTGGGGGCTTCCAAGAATAGGTCCAGATTTGACAGCCTGATTGAGGATAAAGTGTGATTTAGTCCTAAGACCCACAACCCCTTTGGCCCCAAACGATAAACACTCACTTTCTCCGGAGTTTTGAAATACACAAGAATATACACAGTGCAATGAAATATGCTGGTATCTCTGCGCCAGTTTAAACACTGAATAACAACTTATATATTTCAAACCAAATTTACAATTGGCCATATTAGGCTTGGTTCTCTCTCTCTCTCTCTTTTTTCAACTATTTTCACAATGAATTAAAAGGAAAGGGTTTAAGTCAGATGCCCTGCCTGTCACTTGGATCAGACTTGAAGACAAAACTTCTTAAACTGTTTAATTCGTGTTTTGTTTCATTCACATATGTTTGAGTAATCCTTTATTATTAGTCTGCTTGTACTTCTAAAGCTCAAAAATGGTCTGTTCCACTTTTGTGATGTCATGAAGTGGTATTTTTCAAGTTAACAGATATCTTTTACCTTTAGTTCAATAGAGATTAGATAGATTCCAGGGCTGAAAATCATCCAAATGATTCTTGTGAAGGCATATGGAGTTTGAAAACACAGTGGAGCACTTCCAGTATTACCACATGACATTACAAGGTGGATCAGAGTGTTTTCTGTTTGAGCAAAGAACTCTGAAGCCTGAATATGCAGGGTTTGTGTGTGTTAAACATGTGTGAATGAAACAAAACAAAACTCCAGGAATGCTTTTGATGAGGAAACAACGTTATAACATGGATCAGAAAATTGCGTATTATGGGCCGTTCCCTTTGATGACTTCCCGTCCTCTTTTACTTTTATTCCAAATGTGTTTCGGTAAGTCACATTATAAAAAAGGATTGCCTCATTGGTCAAGCAAATTGTTTCATCAGATAGGTAAGCACACTGCATATTGATTAGAGGCAGACTTCCTCTCTGCCTGCTAATGCTTACAAAAGGCTGACCTGTGAATAAATAGACAGAGGCCAAATTCAATGTTAAAGTTAAGGTTAGTTATATATTTGTTGTTTGGCTGGTTGGCAAGTATCCAAGATAAAACAATGTAATAAAGCAGTGGGGAAAATGGTATGTTCCACAATATGACATTAAACACCTCTACCTTACTTTTTTTTTCTATTACAGGTAGTTTTATAGCTCAAAAATACCTAGAAAAACAGGCCTTCTGACTGTGAGCGAAGTTGCCGTTCCACTCCACAGATTTGACCTTTATCTTGGTCTGGTTTGGTCTCCAAGAAGATAGAAAGGTTTAATGTCATACTGTGAAACATTTCAGATGAAGCAATAACATCTCCGTGGAGAAAAGAGTTTGACGGCCCCTGCACTAGAAAAGACCTGCACTTTTAAACTTGTTATGTATACTCATATTTAACACCCACGAGGCTTCTCACAAAAGATCAGAACATTTCTTCACAGTTTTTAAATAGCTGAATTATTATTGGGAGCCTTTCTCTCACATCATAGCAACATTACTTTAAAAGCTTCCCCAAAGTGTTTCCTCTTTTATCACAGATCGTAATAAACACTGGTTAAAAATAGCAACTTCCAGGGTTTCAGCTCAAGTCTTTGTTGTTTTTCCTCACCTTCAATTAGGCCCCAGATGCTAAACAGGAAACTAATGATAGAAGTGTACTGGGCTAATGGACCCCTTTTGTTGTCCTTCCGCATGTGTCAAGATTAACTACTCAACAAAGGCACATATTTACTGAGAGATTTGCAAGACAATAAAGAGTTTATCAGTGGTAAGAACTAATGGGCGGTGCTAAGGAAATTTGTTCTAACATCAGAGTGTATCCTGAAGACTATAGCCTATGTATTCAAAGTCTAAAATGAGACCACCATAGTCCCAGATTATAAAATGTAATAAGAATAATTGTTCTGATAATCTGTAATCTCTTTGGCGTTTTGCTCTATTGATCAAAATACAAAGCTATATTCTGTTGTGTGGTTTAAAGTTTAGCATACAGGGGGAGTACAGGAGGTGGAGGCGTTTGTGAAAATGCAAATTTGGTCATGAAAAGTGAATGTAAAATTTGCATTGGTTTAAACAGTGCATCTCTGTGTGGATTCTGTGTTTTGAGTACACATGTTTCTTTGCCTAAACAAGATGGAAGGGAAAAAGCTTACATTTTTGCACAATAAGTGTCAGTGGTTTCCATTCCTTCAAGGTACACCATTACAAGTCTGGTAAACCTAAATTTAGGCAATATTTAGCTTGTTTTTGCATGTTTATTTTTTGACTAAGCCTTCAGTGTGGCCATCAGCTGTCACAGATAAGTTAGACCTCAGCAGAGAAATTCATAGTTTACACAACAACGAAAGAAAGGCCAAAGACCCAGCCATTGAGTAACAAAAATGCAGAGTAATGTTTTAGTAGAAAGAAAAGGCTTCAGCTTGCAATCAGACCATAAACCATAAAGTGCAGAGATATTGCAAATTAGTCTATTAGTCTAATTTGACATTACAAGGGGTGTTCTTCAACCATCAAAATTAAATTAAAGTCTAACTTGAGTAACAAATCTAACGTGGGCTTCAGACAGAGTTAGCGTCACACCCCCCAAAAATATTGACATCAGCTGCAAAGTATCAATAGATTTTTTATTTCTTATTCTTTTATTATAAGATATGGGCCTACATCATTTTTAGTGTAAGGTTATATTAGGTTAGAAGGCAAAACGCTGCGCCTCATGTATTCCTCAAAAACACATGAAATCCAATAGTAAAGTTGTATGTGTGTGTGTGTAAGTGTGTGTGCGCTAACCTCCAGTTCCCCCGCCGTGTCCCACCTCCTCAGCGGCAGACCAATGAGCGCGCAGTACGGCCAGCGGAGCCAGAGCGCAGCCGGAGCGCAGCCGAAGCGCAGCGGCACAGAGACGGTGGGGGAGGGTCACGTGTGTACACAGCGTAGGGCAGAGCAGCAGCGGTAGTAAAGTGTGCATCAGACGGACTGCCCCTTTCCAGAACAAGCCTCGTCTGAAAAGTTGATTGGGGAGGACTGTACGGGACTAAAATGCAGTAAAACGACACTTTTGGCCGCTTTTAGGCTTTACGAGGGCGGAGAGAGTGCGAGCGCGTATTTTTGGACGTGTTTGTCAAATGAAACGATTGAGAAACACCAATGGAAACGCTACATCCAAACCAAATGCCTCCGTAGGTCTGTCACAGAGCCAGAGCTATACGTTTCTGGTAAGTTTACTCAAAATCTGCTCTGTTTCTTGCTATTCTTTCCCTTCAGATGCGCCTTGTAAATGATTTAGAGGAGTAGTAGTCTTGTTGGAGTAAGCTAGTGTGAGCCGCTTTGGTTTTGGCAACAATAGCCGTGGAAATGGTCGTATAATGGTAGAACCGTGACAGCTATCCACGCTTTGATCTGCTCAGTCAAGTGTGATGGAAAGACACAAGGTCTGCACAAAAATAAAGGGACCACGATATGGGTTCATTATGTCTGTGTGCTCAGCTGCAGTCTCATTCAAAAAACAGCAGGATTGTCACTGGAAAAAATAACCATGTTTCTCACAGTTTCAAACAGGTTAAAGTTGTATCAGCAGTAAATATGGGCTATACAGAGAAAGGTCATGAGATGAATTGTGCACTGTCTGCATTAAAATCCTATAGGAGACTCCCCTGTTGTGCAAATGCATAGTTTTGCTGACTTAACATTCTCTTCACAGCCACACACGCACTCTTCATCACAGTGAACTTGGAATATGAGTTTATGTGCATTCATAATTAAACAATCTTGTCACATAGGTATTGTTATTGTGAAGTCTTTGGCGTATGCTAGGCCTGTTACAATATTAAAATTTGAAATGAGATATACAGGTGAAGAAAATATACAAGATAAACAATAACACTGAATCTCATTTATGCCACTGATATGAAAACAATTTTAAAAACATGATCTGCAATAAATAAAAAGCAGAGTGAAACACTTTAGCAACTAGTCTGTGTCCATAATAAGTCATACAAGTTATTTATTCAACTCTTTACAGCTCAAATTTTATCTTGGTATAGAAAAATACCAAAAAGTACAAAGCAGAAGTCCCCACGTTAAATATAAAAACTATTGTTCCTTCTAACATACTGAACGATAAGTCCATATAGTGATCATCATGACAGGTCTATAGGACAATAAATAAGCAGTTCTTGGTTGTGTCCTTTTAAAAATCTATCATTAAAATTATAGCTCACAATGACATTAATTGCATATTTCGCCACACTTAACCCACTAGTATTGAAACCACATTTTGACAAGAGCATCGTCGTCGGGCTGTGATAAATCGTTTCACATGTTCAGCATATGTGTACAGATATTTGAGTAGTAAATGTCACTGGAAATTGTCTCTTGTTAGTGAAATTTGAAGCATGATGTATTACTAAACTAAACTAAACTAAACTAAATATAGATGATAAATTGACACCAAACCATAGCCCTGAATTATTCCCAAAAAAACCTAAAATGAGTCATAAACGTTCATAGTTAATCATTCTACAGCTCAAATCTGATAATTGTTCTGAAAAATAACCAAAAATTTCCCACTAGTACAAAGAAAAAGTATCCATGATAAATACTACCACAAATGTATTATCGTGACAAGCCTACATATGTGTACAGATTTTTGGACAATAATGTCATTGGAAATCGTTTCTTGGTTCTAAAAGTTGTTGCATGGTTGAAGTGAAGCTTGAGGCTCTGCTCTTATCATCGCTGGGTCCATGTGAGTGGTGTGGACATGGGCGTGTGTGGTTGGGCTTAATGGATGTAAGCTGGCTTTGTGCTGGCCACAAAATGAACTCTGACTATTGGGTCTAGCTCTGACAGTTCAGTGCAGAGGCGGAGACAGAGACCGGACAGACCTGACCTAAACGTGACCAGGTAATGAGGTAAAACTGTAAACATGACACTGTCTATCCTGTACATTGTAAGTGCATTAAGAGCTTTGTGCAGTGGATATTATAGGGACACTCGACGGACATATATAGAAATAAGCAGACACTGTAAGTACACAGTCAAGTTCTAATAGCGAAAGTCTGTATCAAAATCATCAAAACAATTTAAGGCAAGGCAGGTTTATTTGTATAGCCCAATTTGTACACAAAGTAATACAAAGTGCTTTACAGAATAAGAAAGACATTACAAATCATAGTATAAACAAATCAAAACATAAACAATCATCATAAAATTAACATTAAAACAGAAGAGTGCAGCATTAAAACCTTTCATTCATATGCACAGATAAACAGAAACTGTTTTGAAATAATGTGTTGAACTGAAGTTGAACAATTAAACAAAGCTTAAGTCACAAACTTAACTTGCTTTGCCTAAAATGTTACACAATACGGTATTAATATGTATGTATATGTATCTGTCTTGCATTTTTTTCCTATTATAGGTGTTTTTATTAGTTCAAAATGCACTGAAAAAAAGCACATTCATACTGTGAGCCTGAGCATCTCTCCACAGGCCTGACCTGTCACTTAACTCTGCTTTGCTTGTCACCATGGAGATTGATTAGTTAAATGCCATACTGTGGAACATTCGAGGCAAAGCAATAAAATTTCTCTGGAGACAAAAGCCGCAAGCCCTCCAACAGAAAAGTTAAATAGTGCACCTTTTCTTTTAATGAATTCAGTTTCTAGGGCAGCAGTATTTTGGGTTTGAGTTAATGTGCTCCAAATAATTAATGGCTGTTATTCTAATCCATGGTGAAAGCTGAATAATTTTAATTTGTTAAATGTCCTGTATTAGTATGCACCAGAAATCACAGCACTTATGAATACTGCTTTCCAGGAATAATGGACTGCCAAGAAAATCACTGGAGGTCTCAACAACAATTTTACAGCTTTATGTTTTAAAAAGTAGGTTAGTCATATTTGCTCTTCGAACTTGCTATAGATTCTATACAATACCAACATTTTTAGAAATGTATACATTTGAAAAGCTTTGAACCATCTTGACTCTAGTTTTATTCAGTAAAAGTTTGTGCAAAATTATATGTTTGACAAAGACGATAAAGAAAATGAAAGGTTCCATAAAAGCCCTTTGATTTTGACACCTGCGAGTGTGAGACAATGAATGGGTGCCAGACCTTTGGGGATTTCCCGTGGAAGCTGCTAGAAGATTTATCAAAGAAAATGTTACAGTAAAATGCTTTGTTTCAAAATTGAACTGGTAAAACTGGTTGTGGTGGACCTCCCTGTTATAGACTGGCTTTACTCACTTTACTGTCATGGTGACGCAAGGTCTATGAAAAAACTATGAAAGCATACAATAGTTATGGTAATTATGAACATTGCATTGGCACTATGGTGACATAGGGATACTCTATCAGTTTATTTTGTCTTGGTCTTGGTGGTAAAGGTGGCCAGATCAAAGACTAAAGATACAAACTTCTGATCATATCTGTTATGGTCAAATTTTATAACAGTTTAAAAGTAAATCATGAAATAATAACGATTTAGTGTGCTGTGATGATCTCTGCCATTTGGAAATCCATGCTGAATACAAACATAAACTTGTAAATGAGTACATTTTATTTTCCACCAAGAAGATTCTGTAAAATCAGCTGTTTCTGAAATTGCTGTATCTGAGCGTTGCCATCACTTGGGAGTTTCATGCAAATACTAACAATGTGCCAAAGATTTAATTACATAATACTAATTACATGGGCTTAAATGTGCAGTGTGTAAATTTGTCATGGATATTTTATAGTTTTGCCCAGAATGTTCCACAGTATGGCATTAAAGTCATTTATCTCAGTCAGTTAAATTTTTTATTGTAAGTAAGTAAGTTTTTATTTATATAACTCTATTCACAGACATATATCACAAAGGCGCTTTACAGAGCATTATTCATTCACTCCATACCATGTGGGGGTAACCTGCTATTGTAGCCACAACTGAAGGAAGTGCACCTGCCAATCTGCACCATCAGCCCCTCCGACCACCACCATCACTCACGCACACACCAATTTCATACTTTCATTATTGCTCAGAGATACCTTGAAAAGTATGCGTTTGTTTTGTGAGTGGGCTTGCCTCTGAGGCTCCACAGATCTGAACAGTAACTTGGCTGGTGGTGTCATATTTGTTTTCTATGGAGATGGATAAGTTGCCTTACTGTGGGACATTTTGAGGAAGACAAGTAGATTTCACCAGAAAACTTACACAGTGCACCTTTTAAATACTCATTTCCTTTTTTTTTGCTATTTGAAATGAGGCAACTCCTTTTGGTTTCCTCCTAAATGAATGAGATCCAGTAATGGGAAGGCCACACGCTTCTGCAGAATCATAACAAGACTGACTCATGCAATGTTGTTTGCATTTCAGCTGTAGTACTTCTGCTTGGGTACGTGAGGGGGGTCTTGTGACATCACTGGGTACATTCTCAGAAAAGGCAGTAAATTCCAGTAAGGATATACGAGGGGTGTGGGCTGCAGTTCTATGTCACTCTACTCCCATCAGCGCATACATCAGGCAGATCTGAATTCACAACTCTCGGACGCCAAGCACATGTGCGTCACTCAAAATACAAGATGGTGTTTTTCTGGCGAGGCTGGAGCATGCTGTAACAGGGCCTCCCTCCCTCTGGGAATATTTCACTTAACCACGTTTGACATTGAGTAGTGCACAAAAGTTCACATAGGGCTTAATCACATATACACAACTGCAGACCGGGACATGTGCAAGAAGAGTGCGATTTTTGCTTAGTTTTCTGACAGCTCAATCTGTGTATTCTGTGTTAACTCCAAATGTGGGATCAATTTGAAGGCCATACATTAAGTTTATGGATCTTCCCAGTCTAAACAGTGTTCACTTGTTTAGTCCAAAGTTTGATTGGAAAGTGAAAGTTGCCAAACATGAATTGAATACCTCAAAATAAAGATAGTTGTACTGCTGTGTATCTATGCTATTATTCCAAAACATGCATCAGCATTCAGACTGTTTAGCCTAAAACTCAATAGAAAGGTCAAGGTGAAGCGAAACTGGTTTCACTGCCTAAAACAATGTGAAGGCAAAAGAAGAAATTTAAATATACTTAAATTTAAAGGTTCACTGTGTAACTTTTCTGGTGGGTGATGCAATAATATTGGTGATATCGCAATATCACAATATCAAAATTGCCTCGATATCACCATGGTCTCTTTTCGGTATTAAAAGTAATGTATTTGTGCACAAAATAATAT